TTCGCGACTATTCGAAAGGAGGTCCCACCTGGATGAGTGATGACTCGATCGGGTCTACTTCAGTGAGGAGAACTGAGAGGTAAGACCACGGGTATGTCTCGTATGCCGACGTGGGCTGGGTGGGTCCCGACTCGGCCAGGGTCTCCTGCTACCAAGCGAGCTACCGAAGTTTCGGTGAGTTAACTTACTGATACTGTCCCCACACCGTGTAGGGTCTGATGACCCGGACCGAGGCCATCGAGTCGAGGTCCCTAGACAACCACCCCCCGTGCTACTCCCAAGGTACACACATGGCAGTAAGCATACCGTGAGCCGGGCGTCGTCTGACCTGCATGTCGTCGGTCGTCACGGCGGACGGTTACGCAAGAAGTCCGCGTGAGGACTTGTGGGGGGTGGAAATGGCAAGGAGGGAGACCACTTATAGACTCCCCTCAATGTACGTATGACTCCTGTGATTCCGAGAAGTGGCACGAATGCTCGCTGCCGGCTCGGGACCGTCGCGATACGCTCCAACGCCGTTCACGACCGGGAACTGGTGTACGGCCGACAACTCGGATGGTAACAAAGGGAGTATCAAAGGGACTGCTTCGAGACTCCAGCCTCCGGTCCACGGGTACGCTGGGGTCACAGCCCAGTGACTACTGGACGGGTGATTCGAATGCTACGACGTAGCGCGCGCGTACCCGGCATATCCGTGTAAGGGAGAGGAGTGGAGGTAAGAGCAGAGATCTGGCACGCGGTCCAATCCGACCGTGTCAGTGAGGGTGGATGAGTCTGGGTCACATCGTACGCTGATGTCGGCAAACGAGACTACAGATCTCTCGAACCGGTGGGACTACGTGAGAGCAGTCTGTCAGCGGCCCAACCAACAGAGGTCAAGTCCGACGGCATTGTCCTCGTACGAGCTCTGCCTGACCAGGTCCGATCAGTCTGTTCCGCTGCTCCACAGAGTCGAGAAGCGTCCTCTGCTACGGGGCCACCCCATCGGATCTCAAGGACGCACGCACGGAGGGCCCTGCTGGCGAGGTCGGTGACCGAGGTGGGCCACGGGCGTTTCCCTGGGTCCTTAGGGTGTTTCCCCCGGCCGGGCCGGTGTCCAGAACATTGAGCGCGGGGTTCCGATCAGACGACCATGGGCTCACGGATTGGTAGTGGCGGGGGGGGTCTCGATCCCCCGGCCCCCCGTTCTATGACTCCCCAGGCGGCCCAGGCCGCAGCCAATAAAGCGCGCTCGTTGTCAAGTTTCCGCCGACCCATCGAGTTCGAGTTGGGCGACCCCACCAAAGGTGGCAATTGGCGTTCCCATGTTGGAAGCTCAAGGCTGCGGCAAGGGGGTCGGAAGTCTGGCCCAGTTTTACTGTGGATACTTGCTGGGACGTTTGTCTTCGCGCGGATTTTGGCTCCTCCCGACCAGTCAGGAGGAACGGTTCCACGTTAACTCCGAACACCTGGGGTAGAGTGTTGGCCCCCCGAAGATGAGTTGGAGCAAGCGCACTTTCCTTCCCTTCCCGCCCACCTGAGCGCGCGCAGGTTAGCAGTAGCACATTCCTTCGAGTTGTTTCAGCGATTTGTCAGAACGGTAAGGTATCGCGACTCTGTGCGCCTCCAAGAAGCATCGGCAAACAGCTCCCCCCTTACAAGTGCGGTAAGCTATTCCTCGCTGGACTAAAGTACCGGATAAATGGGACTAGTTGGGCGGGGCACCCGCGGCCTCTGTAGCCCAACGCCTAGGATGGGTAGGTTGGGCTAGGTCCAACTGTGCAGGGGGAAAGCCACCTTTAGTCAGTAGTTCAACCTCGGCTAGTCTTGCAGCTCTTACCGCCCGAGGTAAGATTGTGCAATTCATGCACGGGTCCTCCGAAAGGCCCTCCCTCAGATGCTCAAGGCCAAGACAAGAGGGGCAAAGGTCGTGGCCATCCTCTGGTTGAAGAGGAGCCATACAGGTGTTACACCTGTTAAACATAGCGTGAGCGTGAGCAGTCTGCTAACTGGGGTGAGCAAAGTGAAGTCAGTAAACCAACTGTATGTAGTGAGAGGGGAGCGGAAGCACTCTCTTCACTAGCGCTGTAGCCAGTTAACCTTTGAGCGAGAGCACTCAGTTAACTGGAAGATGGAACAGTAACCAACTGTATGCCAGGAGAGGGGAGCGAAAACTCTCTCTTCACTAGCGCTGTAGCAAGCTAACTTTTGAGCGAGAGCACTCAGTTAGCTGGGGATTGAACAGTATCCAACTGTGTTCCAGGAGAGGGGAGCGGAAACACTCTCTTCACTAGCACTGTAGCAAGCTAACTTCTGAGCGAGAGCACTCAGTTAGCTGAGGGATTTGAACAGTAACCGACCGTGTGTCAGGAGAGGGGAGCGGAAACACTCTCTTCACTGGCGCTGTAGTAAGCTAACCTTTGAGCGAAAGCACTCAGTTAACTGGGGGTTTAAACAGGTAAGAACACAATTATGTAAAGTGAGAGGGGAGCGGAGACGCTCTCTTCACTGGTAAAGCCGCAATTTAGCTTGAGCGAGGACGCTCGGCTAACTTGCACAATTAGCACAAAATGATAGCGATCTCACCGGATGACGTGCAGGAGCGCCGCTTTTAGCCGGTCCGGCTCCTGAGGTCCGAGCGGTGAACACCGCGGTCCCGTCCTTAGGGAGGCGACAGCCCGTCGCAGCCTTTGGAGGGCGAGCGTCTTTCAGCCCGCAGTTCCGATCGAGGCGATCGCAAGGCTACCGCTAGCGATGAGCTAAGTCAAACTTCCCAAAAGCTTAGTTTTGGGTTCTACTGAAAAAGTAGTTACCGACGCAGCGAGAAGATGAAAAGGACTGAACTCGTTGACAACACCGGAACTTATGCCTTCCGGGGTCATACGAGGTCACACGTGACTTTGTTGATATAAATATTCGACCAACACATGCGCGAGACAGAAGATATTCAGTGCTAAAGCACCGCCTCTGGCGGTCAGTAAGGATGAAATAGAACCATTATTTTTTGTATATTTGATTGGCGAAACCTAAAGAAAACAAACAGGAAAAACAAGATTCCTGCCTGGACAATGGATTTAATCCTGTGTAAGATTTGGCAGCAGTTTGATTTTGAGTTGGTTAATTGTTAGAGTTGCTGCTACAAAATCTGTGTCAAGTGATTGTGGCCTGTTACAATGTTTTTGCGTATGAAAAACAAACAAATAAATAAATTTTCTTTTCACATAAAATTGGACAACCACAAACTACTGTACACTCTCTGTAATGATGTCTCATTATCTCCGTCCCCCCCTTTAGCCTCCTGATGACAGCCATCGCTCTGAGGAACCTGGCGGTGGGCCTCCCTCCTCTGGAACAGCTGACCAGAGAAGTGGCCTTCGCCAACATGAAGGCGCCCCAGGCCGAGGGGAACCAGGACGATCCGCTGAAAGATGAAGTCGGTCATGGAGAACTTTAAAGGCTGGGATGGACTAACTGTTTTGAATGGCTGGATCACACAACAGAGGAGTTTGTGGTTTCTACCGGAATGTTACTGGGACGTCGCTGCCCGGAAATCAAAGCTAATTTTATATGCTTCTGAAATATTTCTCATTTCCGATTATCTCGGATTGTAAAGCCAGTATTTTATTATAGCATTTGTTCACACAGTGGACGTTTCTTTTTTCGCTGCAGCAAAACCAAAACGCTGATTAATAACGGATAACGCTGCGTCTCTGTGCTAGATTACATTTCCTGTTTAATTTTGTTTAAGAATTTTTATAATTGCAATTATGGCTGGGTGACATGACCAACAATAACAATTGACAATTAATTTAAAATGCTTTAGTGCAATATATGAGCTGCTGGAGGATCACAATGTAAATAAGATGAGCTATTAAGCATGTTACTGAACGTGGGACAGATTTACGAACTTCCTGACGATAACAGGATAGGTTTAGTCTATAACTCCTCCCGTTATTTCGGAGATCTTATTTAAATAACTCTGGCAGATTCATAATTAAAGTATGCAGTAGGATACGCAGAGGTTTACTCTGTTTTGAGGGAATATATTTGTTTGCTAACCCTATAATGTGAAAAAATACAATTGTTGCTTATCAATCAGCAGCCTTTTCTAGTCATTTTTCTAATAAAGAATTTGTGGCAATAAATTGAATGTTTCTTTCTTAATGAGTCAGTCTGATACACAGGTTTTGTGGAAATAATTATTTTTATTGGTGTCAGTATTTTACATGTCGAGCATCTTAAAGTACTACAGTAATTCCATTCACTGTAGGTTGACATTATGGCACATGAATGACACTTTTCATAGAGCAAAAATAATACAATGTTACACAATATAAATACATATATAAATCCACAGGATGGATCTCTAGGAAATTATTTGTTAAAACATAAAAATCATGTTCTGTTTAGTTGAGATTAATGCTCATTCCATTCAGTATAAATATGTAGTCATTACTGTGCTGTAGAGGTCCAGTCACATCACAAAGTGTCATCGATAACTGCACAAAAAGCGACGTGCAACATATTGTTTCACAAAAGCTACGAGTCGTTTCAAGTGTCCAGATGGTTTGTACATCACAAGAAACTATATCAAGACAATCTGTATTTATTTTAATATTGCACAGTGTTTTACTGGTTTAAGTCCTTTAAATCACCACCTCTCGTTTTAAAAATGCTTCCCTTTGCATGATGGGTGACTAATCACAAGTGTTAAACTGGCCATATATATAGTGTAGGTCAAAAATGTTTATTTTCTACAACATATTTGCGCAGAAGGATGCACACATTTGAAATGAAGAACCACCTTATCTTCTCCTAGAGGGGGGGAGCTCCACCAATTGAACACACCGAGGTCTGTTCACAGGTCTAGGAGAGTAATACTGGAGAAGTGAAAAACTTTTTTTATACGGCATTTAGTTGCTCCAGAGAGCTGTGGACAATCTGAAAAATCAGATTGGTCAGAGAGAAGTGAGCGCACAGATCTCTGATTATCTAGAGGAAACATAAGCTGAAGCTACCTGAATCTACGACCAAAGAGCCAATGGTTGCTTTGCATTGTGGGTAATGTAGGTGCCAGGAAGGGAAGAAGAAATCGTGAAATAAAGAAGATATTTCTCTGGTTCTGCTGCTTTGATTATTTATCATTATTCTGACAATGCATAGGAGTGAAGTGCTAACAAGCGGTGCCACATATTTCTGTCTGTTGTGGTTACATCACCTCACTGAGCTGCTCCTCTACTATTACCACCGTCAACACTACAGTTCTGATGTTTAATAAACGAGGTCCACATCACAACTCAAAGTATTTCCACCCTGACATGTGGCACATAGCTGTCAGCTCCCACACAAACACACTCAGGCTGCTGCCCTGCTCTCACTCATTTGGCGGCTCAGAACGAAGTCAGAAACCACAGCCATGGTTCTCTGAAGGGCGTGGCACCTCTCTGAAGGGAGTGGCACCTCTCTGCTGGCAGGCCGTGATCCAGCTCCACACTCCAGCCTGTGTTTGTCCTCACAGCCTCCTCTCTGTCTGGAAAACTAACCTTTAGTCCAGCTGGCATCTCCGTCCCCAGAGTTTTCTATTTCTATTTATGTGCTGAAAACACTCTTTGACGTTCTTTGATCCGCCTCTTATCTCTATGTTCAGTTTATCCTATTTTTCCTCAATACTTTGTTAAGAAATAATTAAAATATGAGGTACATTTTATGCTATAATCAGATGCCTAATTCCTCTTTTAATTAGTTTCACTTATAGTTACAATTATATCTGACTAAAAGTGTTTGCTTGTATTATTTTCTCAGGATTCCAAATCCATTCAAATATTGGTCAGTATTGCTTTTATTTATTTCATGTTGACTGGTGTTAGTGTTTTATCTATAAAAGAAAAGAAATGTATGGATTTTTTGTTTATGTTTTGAAAATGCGACTCAGTTTATGTTAACATGTAACGTCCCTCCTGATGAGCTCCTGCTGTTCTCAGATCAGCTCTGCGGCTCTACCTGGGTTGAAGATCTGGGTAGAAAACTCCATGCACCACACCTTCAATCACCACATTCGAAAATGCATCTGATAGGAAAGAATAGGAGAAAAGTAAAGCATGTAAAAAAGGTAAGAGCATGTACAGTAAGTAAGTAAGAAGCTCATGTCCACTTGTTACTAAAAAGATTCGTTTGACAGTAAATTAATCCACCACAAACTGTCTATTGCAAAATGTCCGAAAAAAACTAAATACATTCCCAAAATATCTAAATTTAATTATATAATTATTGTATAGTTCCAAACATTATTTACTGTGCAGAGGTTTTAAAAAAACATACAGTATATAAAAGTATCGAACATCTGATTTCTATGCCAGAGAAGAGAATTATAACAATTGTAAACAGAACTGACGATCTTTAAACAACCAACATGTTATATATAAACTCACAAACTTATAGATTTGGTGAATACAATTATAATGAATAATTGATGTATAAAGTAATTAACAAGATGTTTCCAGACTGCATTAAGAAAGTGTTTCAAAGCAGAGTGAGACAGTATCAAGTAAAAGGAATTAGCATATTTAAGCGTTATTCATTTAATCACTTTTATTTTAATAAGATGATCAAATCTGTATACAGATCTTAGTTTGGCTTTTTTGGAACATGTTATATGCTTCTATTTTATTGAGTTTCTTTCTTTCATTGCATTGTAAACATTTAAAGTGCATTGTATTAATACAATTATCTAAAAATTGCAGGTCTATAAACATTTGGTTTGTAACTATTTCAAAATGATTAATATTTGTTATAATTGTTATTTATTTGAGTTCTATAACTTGATGACAACCTAGATAAACGATGTTATGAGAATGATAAAGCAGAGGTATATAAGGATAGCAGCCTGAACTCACCGTGAGCAGACGGCAGCAGGTAGGGGTCTCTCAGAAACAGCAGGACTGGCTGATGTGAAAGTTTACTGAAAAACAAAACAAAGAAAAGAGAAGTCAGAGGGTTTGTGGACGGCTACAAGCAGCAGATAAACACGATGACGAAAGGCAGGTGGTTTCAGTGATATGCTGGGTGAAGTTCAACACCAGAGCAAATAGTGACTCTGACCTGCGGCTACAAACAATATATTTATATACGGCTCACCTTGATTCCTCTGATTCTGTATCAAACGACCTGAGAGAAGAAAAACAAAAGCTAAGCCAAACAGCCTTCCAGTGGTATGGTAACAAACTCTTACACAGTTTAAAAAAAGGAATAGAAATGGTCTTTCATTCCACAGCTTCAACTCACCCACAGCTTTCTGTTTTTGGCACTGAAGGAAAATGTCGGATATTCAGGAAATCCAGGAATACCTTTGGAAGGACTCCATTTTCCATAATTATGGACTGAGAAAAGAGAAAAACAAAAGCACATGAACAGCCATAAACAACCAAAGCAACCTGAATGACCTTTTGAAGAAAACAATTTGAATTTATTTTAACCTCCCTACATCTATAATGTTTTTTACTTTTAATTTCAGATAGACTACGACTGTATTAGGATATTGACTTTACAGAGACACCAAGTGAAATGTTAGTTATACAAAATATAAATCCTCCACACTAGACTCTCCGACACCTACAGTACACAAACATAATACCACAGTATACTTAATTAAATAACAAGGATTTTAAAAATAATCAAAATTCAGCTTTATTTGTATACAAAATATGTATTACAGCTGGAATCCATGCTTTAACAGCACACATATTTTCAGAAAAAAAAACACCTTAATGGGAATCATTTGAAGAAGTTTCCTTTTAAATCACTCTTATTATTCCCTAACAGGCTCAGTTGTGGTGTCATATTTATGTAACATGCTGATTAGACCTCAATCATGTCACATGTGTCATCATCATGTGTCCTGTGCAGTAGAGCAGGTACTTTCATTTCTTAAACTCTTCTTAAAATGTCTTGTTTCTTTATTTTCAGTAGAGCCGTAGGGGTGGAGGTGTTTACCTGCAGGTAGAGCTCCAGACCGAGCCTCCGCTGTTCCAGGACTTTAGGAACCCAGTTTCTGACATGTTTGGAGGGCATCTCAGGCGGCTTTATGCTCTTCTTTAGCTGGAGGGTCACAAAAAGAAAGAGAATTATAAATGACATATTTTGGCATTTCCTGAGATGTGTGGGGGAAAAAAATGCTTTGTTCATGTTTTCCCTTCATTAATGTCCCTCTCCACATCCAAACAAGGTCCTTTAGCTTTTGTCACACTGACTTATAATAACAAATTGTAGATTAGACTCCCTCTCATAACTATTGAATGAAATCAATAGTTATCAAATTCAGACTTCCATAAAGTGGCTGCTCATCAAATTTGCAGTAGATATGGGTCCGTTGATCCGATTTGTTAGGAGAATATTTCTAACCAAATTATAGCAACGTTTGCAGTTTGGAAGGGTATTAATATTCAGGTTTTTTCAGGGGGTTTTTGTCTGTTGATGGTGGTTTCCTTACAGCATGCCCAATATCAGGAAGCAGCTAAATGGAAACCAGAAATAATTAATTTGACTATTTACCACTATGCTTTTGGACGTTACACATGTTAACAGTGGGCTGCACTGAAATAAAAAAATCGAACAACAATTCGACTAATGGCCAGACAGGAAGAGGAACTTGTCTGTAAAGCTATAACCTCAAACAAACTGCTATGGTGAATGGTTAACCACCAGAAAGCATTCATCATGTATTCATTTGCTGCTGTGATTTACTGATCCTGCGTGCCGTGTACAGAATTTAACACCAGTAAATAAGCATGTTCTCTGCAGACTAATGTATTACATCTTTTAGTTTAATGGGTTATGTATATCAAGTTGTGTGTATTTCATTTATTGGTTTTTCAAAAAACTATCCCAGCAATTAAAGATGGAAGATCATAAAGCCAGAATTGTCATCACTTAAAACATTCAAATGTGTCAAGCATAACAGTGCCAGATTTAGCTTTGAGCTAATTTCCATCCGCAGTCCCTCACATAAAACATTTAAGAAAATTACATTTGACAAACATAGCAATTATTAAAACAATATGTATTCAATTATATATTAAATGTGTTATTGCAAAAAAAAAAAGCATCAGATGTGGTGGTTAATATGTCAATCATAAATATGTGTTCGCCTATTAAAGACTAAGGTTAAAGACTTGAACATTTCATTTGAATTTGATAAGAAAGGAGGACTTTGTTGACACTTTAAACCAATCAATATTCAGTAACTTTGGGGATGCACTGAACCCACCATTTTATGCAACGTGTGGAATTCACTGTAGCGTTTCTCGACAGCATGTTGTCTGCCGTTCATCAGCACGTCAATTCTGAAGACCTGAAAGAAAGAAAAAAGTTACTATTCTCTGAAAAAAGCCTGAGTTGTGTTGGTGAGTCAGTTGAGAGAATCCCAAATAATCACCAGAGCTCATCAGACCAAAATGGCCCCACCCTGCGCTGCCAGTGTGTGTGTGCACGTGTGTGAGTGTAGAGCTGTCATTAACTGTGGTGTCAGCGTGTTACCAAGAGGAAACATCTGTCTGTTTTAAAAAATGTGATCTGACAGAATAGCTGAAACATCCCTAACAGTCTTCTACTTCCTCCCTGGCTCTTCTTGTCAGCATTATATAAATGAGGAAATCGAGTCTGAAATGACGGCAGACAATCGTGTTACCTCAATTCTGTATTTGACCGACACCAACTGCATCTCCTACGACTGAGAGCCAATGAATCCGAATAATTAACCAATCAAAGACTTTTCAATAACATGATGTCTTCACTTGGGAAAAACAGCAATAATAAGGTCAAAGAAGTCCCAAAAACTCAAATGATTCAGTGTGTGCTTCTTATAACTCTTGTTTTCTCATTGAAAAAGACATTCAGTCATTTTGTTCACACTGTCGCGTTAACACAGGAAGCAGCCTTTAAACTGCTGACACTGTATTTTAACTGCACTGTCTAAAGCAGTGGTTCTCAACTGGTCAGGCCTCGGGACCCACTTTTTTCCTTTGTCAATAAATCGCGACCAAATATTTTGAACCACTCAAATCTATTCAACAAAAAATCGTGCTGTAATATATACGCTTTTCAGCATACAATATTAATTAAAGTGAAGTAAAGTGCATATATCCCTTATATCCCTTCACAGAACTAAAGTATGCTTTAAAACCCAACCCCAGAAGGGTGGTCTGGGGGACCCACTTTTGGGTCGAGACCCACCAGTTGAGAACCACTGGTCTAAAGCAATGTCTCTCACATCTTGGGACAAACTACACAAATAAAAATGTATGTAAGTTAAGATGGACCTTCATTAATCACTGTGTCGAAATTACAGATTCACAAAATATTGATAAAATGTAAGATACAATTAAAATTATATACAGGTAAGTAGATGTTAAAACAATAAAATGAATTAAATGAACATATATATTTGAATCAATAATATTATTTTTAAAGAGTGCCCTTACACTTTATTTTGAGGGTTTGCTGTGCAATGAATTGAGGTCTGCTGCTTTACTTATATCAGTCTGTATTTATGTCAGACAGCTGGAGATCCTGGGTGTGTTTGGATAAACTAAGACACACATTTCTGCCAAAACGTCTTTAAAATCAGCAGCTTAAGTTTTCTCTGTGTAATAATCCCAATTTGAACTGATTTGTACCCTAAAATGTTTACAGTGTATAGAAACAAGGCGAGTTCAATGCATTGCAGCAAAACAGACAGGAAAGCTTATATTAAAGCGACATTTACTTTTTAGCTTGATTATAAAACAGACGATTGATAATTATTTCGAGGGAAGAGAAATAACATGCGAGTAAAAATGAAAAGTGATGACAGCAGCAGGGCAGACACACACACACACACACACACACGGAGAGAGAGAGAGAGAGAGAGAGAGAGAGAGAGAGAGAGAGAGAGAGAGAAAGAGAGAGGTTATTTGTTAAGCAGCTTACNAATTATTTCGAGGGAAGAGAAATAACATGCGAGTAAAAATGAAAAGTGATGACAGCAGCAGGGCAGACACACACACACACACACACACACACGGAGAGAGAGAGAGAGAGAGAGAGAGAGAGAGAGAGAGAGAGAGAGAGAGAGAGAAAGAGAGAGGTTATTTGTTAAGCAGCTTACCGTGTATCCTTTCTCGATTGAGTTGTTTTCGGAACGAAACGAAGGGATCGACACTCTCACTGGATGCATTTTAACTTGAGAAATGAACAGTTTTCCACGTAATTTTTTTTGATCGTATGGCACACACACATACACACACACACTCACACTCACACTGCTGGTGGTGGACTCCAGTTTATTCAGTAGCCAGAGGAAAATCCAAGGATTCAAACGACATGGAGCCTCAGAGGCGCCCCCTGTTGGCCCGGAGGACACTGCCGGGACAGATTCTGATTTTATTTTTTTATTATTTCTTGTTTTTAATTTAATATTGTTCAATACATTATGTGAGCGAATGAGGGCCACATTTTGTTTTTTTTATCTTACCAAAGGTTTTTTGTTAGGGGTTTTTTCAAATAATTATTGGATAAAACCTTAGACTGTATTTGCTTTGGTGTATTTTGGTGCAATGATAAACACAACATAAGGACGTTTTAAGAGATCAAAAATAGAGCAGTTATCAAAAGAAAATATATATAAAAAAAACGTTATAACATTAAAAAGACTAAAGATAAATACTTACAGAGAATATAAATATATATATATATATATATATTAAAACGTAATACAATGATTATATAACAGATTACATTTGGAGTGGTTTTCTTTTTAATACTGGTAATAGTTTAAAAATGTTTTACAATAGCTATGTTCCTTTAACTGTTTTTATGTATGCAGTATGCACCATTATACACAAAAATAACTCCTTGTGTGTATAAATACTTGTTATTTAATTAAAATGCTGATATGTTTATCACTTTAATGTTGCCGCTTTTAAAGGTGGAGCTACATTTAACTGCGTTGTATACTGCTGGGCGGCCTAATCACATATGAGAATGTTGCTTTGTGAACTTGTAATGATTTATTGGATTTATTCAAACGTAATCTGAAACTTTTGTAGTTTCCAGCTTTTTTAGGCTATTTTGGGTGTCAAAATGTGTGATTAAGAAAATAAGAAACAAAGATAAGACAGGGAAATAACGTCAGACAGTTGAGTCCACAACAACGATACAGTGTCACAAAGTTTTATTCAACTCAGTTTCCACAAAAGCTTTGGAGTAAAGAGAGTTTCATCCATTGCATATAAATATACAAATACATTTTCCTTTACAGTTCATTTCAAAATAGTGATATATAATTCATGTTGAATTATCAACAAGGGTAAACTGGTTTACATTTTTAACTTGCTAAGCTTCTAAATATCATGAATTTAATTCCTTAACGATCTTACAAGTGGTATAAAATGCAGAGAATACAGTAAAATGCAAAAGAAGTAAGACATTTAAACATGTTTAGAGAAATAGGAGATAAGAATAGACCTATCAGTGTGGAGAAAAACGTTTTACTGGCACTATGACTAGGATAGTCCTTGTTTCAAAAATGTTGAGTAGCCTATTTAAAAATTATAAAATGTATTATTAAGATGTATTTCGTGTTGTTTTATATGCAGTCCTCTGCATTGTCAATTACAGTACATCTCGCTGAGTTGCTGTGAAGGACTCTTAATACCTGAGAAAAAAAGAAAAAAGGAATAAAATCATGATGAGGATTGATAGAGGATACAATGCTTTAATACTTTCACCTGGCTGCTATATTGATAAACTGATACTGTTACTGGATGGGTATTTTGTAAATCGTGTAATTTCTAGTTTTATCTTTTCATATTTGTATGCAGGCATCTTGGGTGATATTAAGCTATCTTTGGCTCTTAACTTGCTGTAGCAAATGTACATTTCCCCTCTGTTGGACAAATAAAGGTATTCTCATTCTACTGAAGAAATATCAAAACCATAAATGTTACTTAGGGTTTGCTACTCACGATGACAGGTGACAACCTGAGACTTGGGCGTAGTTGCCGGTGTACTGGACAGCACAGCGCACAACGTTGTTGCTGTAGTCTGACTCTGGGACATGATAGTTGGGATTTACATTGATCTGTGGGAAGAAGTAACACAGCAACAAAGATAAATAAACAACAAAGGCTCCGATCAAATATTCAAGGATTCAAGTTGATTCCACACAAGTGTAACTGTTCAAATGGGTCAGATGTCTCGCGAGGCAGATAAATGTCATCTGGTATTTCTGACAAACCTTCAGGATATAGTCTCCAGCCTTCACATCTGTGATGTCGATCCACTGGCAGTCGATGTCTGCGTTGTAGGTATCATAACATCCTGGGCTCAGACCCTGCATGTTGGACAGCATCCACGTAAAACATCGTATAAACAAACTTTTTAAACAATGTGAGGGCTTTGTGTATACAGAACGGTAACTGTAACAAACATTCTATTGTTTTAAAAGAGTACAACATCTACGTTTTATGATACAAATAAATGCAATGCAACAACAGGAAATCATTGAAATATTACTGGCTCATGCAAAAAGGAAATATTAAAAAGGTCCTTTACAGGACAGCTGCCTCACTAAAAGATCATTTGTTTTTCTAAGTTCAAGTCTGCTTTACAGAGATTTGTGAACCAAAACCATGCAACAGGGTCTGTCAATGAGAAATCATCATCCTCTAATTTGGTCTGAACCGACACTAAATGGAAATGTGAATGTGCAACATGGCATCAAAACAATTTAAAGTTATTTCCTATACATCTTGATGTGAAGTGGATTTTGTTTTGCAAGTTTCATAATTCAAATAGGCCTTTTTCCAGAAGACATTTTGATATGTCAGAGAAGGTACCGTAGTAAATAATCAAATAAATGTAATCTGAAGTCCTGCAGCTGCTTCAGCTCCACCGTCCTGTTATTGTGAGGGCTGGCTCACTGTCCTGGTTTACTGCGACACATGTTGCATTCATGTGGTGTCGGAAAAATCGTAAATATCAGTTTCCAACTGGGATAATTTATGTGAACGTGACATCAAGTCAGAACAACAACTCCTGCCAAGTTTGCGTCACCAGACAAAAGCAAATGTTGGGTTGATAGTAACAAATGTTTTGTTAATTCCCATGATGTTGCATTATCTATTTTGCTCACATATTTTTTAATATGGTATTTGTTATGGTATATTATGGTTGTTACTGTAGGTTCCTTTCCACATAGAGATAGTTTTTTATTAGCCTTAACGCTGATAAGAAGTAAGGTAATGCAATACATTTTGTGGTTAAAGGGAATGCAACGCTAGTTTCACGAAAAAAAATTCTACAATACAACATAAAAGAGCACACCGAAGTCGGAAGAATGTCTTCCCAACTTTTGCTGGACCTTCAGAGAAGCATGTATTGTTTGTATAATTAGAAATGTATATAATCACTTTTCGTACAATGAAAAGTCCAAATATATGCAATGAAAAAGGCTTATCTTTACACCCCTGCTAGTCTGATGTACAACAATTCTTTGGTCATTGGGGTCCTTTCAATCCTGTTCTAATAATAACCAAGCAACACAGTGCAGGGTATACAAGTGTAGCCATTAAAATAAATGCTTCTCCAGGGGTGTTTATAAAGACTTCAACCTTGGCAATAACTCTTGGCTAGTTACATGTTAGATTGTCTATGTGCACGATGACTGTAATTCATGATTACATTGTTCTTGCTCTACAGGAGGTAACTGGCTCCATACGTGCCATATCATGTTCCATGGGAAAGGAACCCACTGACCCTGTTCATACAAAAGTCAAGTAATACTTTGCTAATAAAGAAACATTTCAGTTTAAAAGTCTGAAACATTTAAAAAAACATTTTGCAGGAATGTTTTTGACCTGGCTATGTGAGGTGCAGGCATATCTCCTGTAGTAGCCGTAGTCACAGGAAGTGTCCTCCAGGCAGAAGCTAGCCTTGTGGCCCTCAGCCACCGATTGTTGGGTGGAGGCGTCCAGCAGTTCGTAGTGGCTGAATTCGTCCATGCTGTGGAAGTGCCTGTGGATCAGCAGGGTTCATTTTTAATGTAAAGCGAAGGAGGTCCACATCAATCTGGGACTTATAAAAACAAACAGACACTGTTAGTCGAGACCCACCAGAGACTGTTCATGAGCGCAGTTACACCACAGTGAATCTGAGTTTACTTCCACTTCATTATGTTAAAGACAGTTTGTTTTATGATAACATAACAGTCTGAATCTTAGCACAAGTTTACTTTCAAAACACTGACAAGTAATATATACAGTCCACATCAGCAGTGTGTTGGATCTCTGCCAAATGTGCTCCTTTTTCGGGAATCAGTGCAGTGGACAGATTGTTGCACAACATAACTATGGGCTGAGGTAGTTTCTGAGGAATCAAGGAAAACTAGGCAGCTTTCCATAAGCTTAATAAGAAAAGCAGCGGTCCCCCTTTCTGGCTCATTATCCTCATCGCACTATTTTACAACATCTGGCTTTGCAGCTGTAAATTAAGTGAATTGAAGGTCATATGAAGTGCATCTTTTAAAAGGTGTGTTTTACTGCCTTCATGCTGAGATTGCATTAATACAAAATGACACCTATAATAAAAGCTCTGATATAAAAAGTGATAAGCCTATAAAAAAGCTATAAGACAGCCAAAAGTAACAACTGTGGTTCAACAGGGGGTGCCATACCTCAACTACAGACTGGAAGAATACAGTGGAAAAAAAAACAAATAAATTAAAACAGTGATGTGTGTCCAATTCAATCTCGTGAGAAAAACAATGAGCAATGCAATAAGTCTATATCTGAGTTAGACACGTCTCTTGATTTCAGCATGTTGGCCAGTGAGAACAAAGGATGTAAAAGTCTCTCTGTGATTGATGGTGAGGTGGAGATGACGTTATACCCACTGGTGACAGCTGTGCCACTCCCAGGAGTAACGTGGCCTGCTGGGGAGGAAGTCTGCTGTCCCCTGGTTCTTCACTCTCTGGGGAAACCTCAGCAGCATGCGGGTGTCATAATCTCTCACACTGCCTGTATAGGCCGAGCTGCAGGCACACAGAAGAAGAAAACACAAATCATACGTTGATACAAGTCCGTCATTAAGACTGTTTTTCCTGCTAGATCCCTTCTGGGTGAAAGCCGTCTATGGTGGGTGGAAAAAAAGTCTGTTGGCACGTGGTTGTTTGGTTAAGCTTTCGATAATGTGTTTACCATTTGGGCTTTCTCCTCAGGGAAAACTATGATTAAACAGAAATCCTCCACCTCCCACCAGTATGCGCCATCAGGGTTAATTTTACCTCATCTTATGGCTC